GCCGCCGTTCCCGCCGTCGATCTCACGATCTCGTTCGCCTCTTGCATGCAGGGCTGGCACTACCGCTGCCTTGGCGTTGACCCGTGAAGATCCGATCCGGCGTTTTTTTTTCCCTGATAATTTGAGCGATTTGAGAGATCGTTGATTCGTTAGTTTTGTGATTCCCCTAATGGCGATGCATTCATCATCATCTGCGAAGGAGAAGAAGGGAGTGGGGAGGTTTTTGGTGACGATTACTGTTAATGGAAGCAGTGGACCGATTCGGTTCCCTGTGAGCGGGGAGGAGCTTGTTGGTGCCGTGATTCATAGGGCTTTGAAGAAGTACTCGCAGGAGGGGAGGTTGCCGGTTCTGGGATCGGACCTCAATAAGCTTAGTCTTCGATGCGTGAATTCTGGATATGATGGTAAAGTTTCGATCTTTCCCTCCCCATCTTTTCTGTTTGTTTTTATTGAGCTGGTTGAGTAACTGTTTGTAAGAAGTCCCTGAAACTTGATATTATGAAACAAGTACCCTACTTTCATTGAAAGTGCACATTTATACTTTGCGCTTAGGAACATATACATAGGATGGGTTCTAATGTATTTAGATGGCGTAGCCTACATGACTATTGGTCTCTGATCCGTGAATTCTGGTTATGATGATAAAGTTCTGATCGTTTTTGGTGTTATTCATGCGTTTTTATTGATTTTGTTGAGTAATTGTTTGTAAGAAGCCATCCAAAATTTGGGTTAACTAATAGGCTTTGAGGGACTTGTTTTTGAATATCAAATTTCTGTGGGCTTCTTTCAAAATAAATTTTCTTTGGAGACCAATATTCAAAACCCTTGCTTGTTTTTTTGTTGGAAACATTGCAGTTTTGAGCCCTTGGGAACAGATTGGGTTGTGCGGGAGCCGGAACTTTATACTGTGCAAGGAGGAGAAAGAGGGGAAGGAAGAGGAGCATGGGAAGGGTGGGGAGAGGGTCCTTGGAAGGAAGGGGAGCGGGAGCTGGAAGGCACTGATCAAAACACTGGGGTTTATGATCCCTTCTCACTGAGATTATCCTCTTCTTTGAGGCTGATGATGAATGGTATCTCTTATTTATAGGCTGGTCTTTTGTTTTTACTATGTTCTAGTTCCCTTTGGCATTGGTGATGGATCACCATAGTGGAGATGATGATCATAATTATGGGAATGTTATGTTATTTAACTGCTTTATCTTTATAATAAATTAAGAACCAGCCAATCACATATTTGGAATTTTGTGTTCTTTTCCTTGTGAAATTTACATTGCTTTCTAGTTTCTACTTATGCTGTTATTTTATTATAACACATAATTTTTTTTTTCACTTCTTCGATAGCATGGTGAATTTTGTGTTATTTTTCACTTTTTCGATAGCTTTAACTTCATACATAAATGACATGGAGCTGTGGTGGATTGTGCTAGAATATACTCTTAAATATTGTGCATTCGTTAAAATTTTCTTGCAATTGATTTATAGATCATATTTCTTTCTGTGCTGCTATTCTGTGAAGAATAAAAGTTTGTATTGTCCTATCGGAGATGGATGGATGTGCTTCAAGTTGATTAGATTATTGTATGAATTGCATGTTAATAACAATTTCTTAAATTTATGAGAGTTATTATAATATTAGCATTCAACAATCTCTCTTATATTCTATGCAGATGTTTATAGAATGCCTAATTCATCCTTACTAGCTTGATATGGAGCTTTTTTGACACATCTGCTTGAATAGAGTGCAGTGTTCTTTGACTGAACTATATATTTTTTGGGTTAATGCAAAATTAATGATTTTTTAACTCCTTGAATTTGTTTCAGTTAGTTCTGAATTTGTTTTTACTTTGCATGGTGAATTGAGTGTGGCGCCTGCCTCGTAGATTACTAATTTTATGAGTTCAGGATGGTGGTGATGACATAGTGATTTGCAAGTACTTATCTTAAAATACTTAATTTAAAATCTTCCTGATTTTGTGATGTCACGACAATAAACACAGGTTCTTATGAGAAAGATGTGCTCTGTGAGTGCTACATCGCTTTGATGCTTGTATCCAGTACGTAGGCATGGAAATCCATTAGAAAGTTGGATATCAGGACACATCGATGGGACCATTGGATATGTCATTGTAATAAATAATATGCTAACAATTAACCAATCAACATTTTTATACATTTGCAAATGCAGACACGTAATTTTGATTTTTGAGTACATCACATATAGTATTTACATATATGCTAACAATTAACCAATCAACATTTTTATACATTTGCTTAAAGAATATGCCTTAAATTTTTATAGGATAGCTGAATCTCTTAGATCAAGAAATGCAATAGACTTACTGCAGACATTTATATCTGGTTGGCAACAAAATTGGCCTATTTTCAATCTCTTTAAACGATGAATTAAAGATTTGGGTGCAATGAGTGTCGAAGAGTTTTGCTCTCATAAGTCAAATACTTTTAGATCTAAACTATAATACTGATTCATAGTAACTCACATTCCTACTTGATTGACTATCTAGTGATATGTACACAAATTATAAGGGAGTTTGTTCTCCATTAGGAATTTTTATGTGGGTATGCAATACATAGAGAACCTTTGATGATACTGATTTTGCTGGATATATGTGGAATACGCGTGGAAGCTGGGGAATGATATTACTTTTACTGCTCTGCAGAATTTTCTGTCAGCGATCTCATAGGAACAAAGTTTTCTAGAAAAACGACGTGCTTATCGAATTGAATCAATTGACATATGTAAAATTTAAGTTAGGAAAATCTTGAGGGTGAAAGGAGTGCATGTGAGTTCAAAAAGTGATGAATATCAGTCCAGATCTAGTCTGTTGGATGTCACATCACATCTGCAAGGAATAAATGGGAAGAGTGGCAATATGCGGACTTGTGCTTGTTGGAAGTTAGAGGATGTTTTAATTTACTTAGTATCTTCTCTTCAGGAATGTGACTGATACAGATGGCCAAGATATGAAAACGATTGTGGTGAGTTCAGTTAGTTCTACTTGTTTGGTGTTTGAGGGTGATCACCTGACCACCATCACCAGGATTAGGGCTGGAAGCAACTTGTTTATAAATTTAAGAATTGCAATTTGTAAAGACCAAGTTCTTATGCACAAGAACGTCCTTCTGGTCCTGTTCTTTTAGAAGACATTTGTTACCTTGCTAGTAATCCATTATGCGTGAGTGGATAAGAGTCATTTGCCAAATTAGAGTTTCACCATTTGGCTCCTAAATCTCAAACTGCTCTGACCTCTCTGGCCCTAGTCCTTCTTTCTTAAATGTACTATAAACTTTCTAAATGTGAAAACTTTTGCAGATATTTACCCGTCTCCTGGACAAAGTAATTTCTTAAGTCAGAGCAAATATACGGCTCGTATTTTTATTTTCTTGACTGCAGTTTATATGTAGAGGCCTGATTAAAACGTAAAATAATTTCCAGTGCAAAATACAGCTGAAAGTAATGTACACCATGAACAGATATAAAATAATAAACTGTATACAGACTTATCGTTTTGAATCATTGCATGTTTTTAAGGAATAGAATACATGCATAGGTATCCAAATAAGTTTAGAGAACATGCAACAGGTTATCTCGTCTAAGACATCCGTGGGGTGTCTGTGCCTAACACCTGTACTTGTCCTATATGTTTACAGTAGAAAATGGAAAAAGTGCATGTGCACAGTTTGTTTTTTCTCTCAATAATTTCTGTTCCCTTCCCTATAGCAAGCTCCGTGATTGATAGGATAAGAGAAACCTGTTATGAACTTGAATATGTGATTACAAACATTTAAAGCAATTTCTTGGCTGGCAGAGGGACAAGGGAACTTTACTCATAATAAACGTTCCAAAAAGATTTATACTCATCTGACAAATTCCCTTAGTCTAGATACAACTTGTTCTCTGGCAAACCCTCTCAGCTCTAACCTAAATAATAGTTTAGCCTCTTTAATTCTCAACGATTGTAATAGGAAGGGGGTATATGTTCTTACTGTAAAGGCTATCGTCATGGGTGGCAATTTTTCCTACCGAGAGAATATAATGAATTCTGCATTCTCTTGTTTCCATGAAGAAATCCAGACTGTTTCTTTTCATGATTGTTTAACTTGTAATGCTATGTACTTTTTATTGCTGCGTGTAAGTGTGTTGACTGGACTCTGGAGTTCTTTCTTTCTTGGAGAGTCTGAAGCTCTATACCCAGTTTTTTACAGTGGTCGTTGTTATATCTCAAAGCCTTCTTATTATTGAGACGGAGCATATTTAAATCAGATTTTTTTGTGCCTCTACCATTCGTAGGGATCATCTGCTAACTATGCTTTGCGTCTTTATTCTATGTTGCCTGGAAACCTCAGACTTATGCTGTTTTTTTTAAAGGACATATATTAGGTTCTCTCTTTGACATTGCTGCTTAAACCAGTCAAATTAGAAGACTGGCATCTTCATCTTACCTGAGAATCTACTATTCTAGTGTTATCTACAGAAAGTAGACCAAAGCTGGCCCTCTATCTTGGACTTCTTGTGCTATCGGGTACCGTGTACTGTTTTGCAGGATAGGATGAGGATTTAGGGCCCGTTTGGATGGGGTATTTTGCCCCGAAATTGGGAGGAAATCTGTCAAAATGGAAGTTTTTTGGTAGCTTTCCTCCCAATTTTCGGGGCAAAATACCCATCCAAACGGGCCCTTAATAGAAAATGGATGGACCATAATACATTGATTATAATTGGGAGTCTTCAACTGTGATAGCATTCTGTCAGAAAAAGCTGAAGTTGGTGGAATAAATTTGTCGACTTGAGACTGCCAGTGTTTTAGTTGATGAAGTAGAGTTATCTTTTTGGGGGCTATACGGCCTTGGAGGTTGAAAGTAGCGATTGAGATTGCTCGGTGGCAGAATGTCAGTTCTAATCTTACCTGTTGCATCTGTTGGATGTTTCATTTAAGTTGCTGTTGATTGTAGTCACAGGGTCCTTTTGGTCTACTTTAAATGCTTCTTGGAATTTATTTGACACAGGAACCCCATATAAATGAAATGGTCGAGTCACTTCACTAGTTACATGATAATTTACTGCATATCATTTGATCAGTATGATGCTAGAAAGCCAGCATCTGGTGTGTGGTCCTTGAAGTTTAGCCATAGGACTGTTTGGTCCTTTCGGAGAATCCTAGCTCAGCTATGCTGTGGAAGAAACAAGAGGATTTTACTGACGCCCTGGCGAAAAAAGGTATCAAGTGGCAAGATAACTATATATCCTTACGCTTACAGTGTCTAGAAGATTTGTAGCAGTTTATCTGTATATTTCGCGTTGGTTTTCTGGTTTGAAGCTGTCAGAGAGTAATTGCTAGCCTTGTCTCATCCTGGGGAAGTTCCAAATACAATGCAGAATGAAGGTATTTGAGCCTCATCCGTTTACAGACATCTTTATGTTTGACTTTATTATCCATCTATTGGATTATTATTTTTGACAAGTAAATATCGAAGGTTAGTGGAATTTTACTGAATAAAATACGCCCGGCCAATTGATTTAGAGCACAACCATTTTATTACTAGATGGAATGACATGCATATTTTCTAGATTATTGTTCTAAGATGTTACCTTAACGTAAAACATGTGATGTCTTACTTCATACTTGAATATATATTTTCGGTAAAAGTACTCGGAATATATGTTGTTATGTATTCAACAAAATATAATTGTTAGGACCGTGTGTTGAGGAATAAAGAGGTGATGGAATAGACAATATAGGCAGGCTTTCAAAGCTTAATGTGACCGTCTGTAAAGCGATTAAAGATGATTCTATTACCCGCAAGATCGCCTTGACAAAGGGCAGATAATTCGCAACTGTAATGTCTGGTCTTTTGTTGGTTGAGAATCTATCACGTCCGTTTAACTCTCTATAGAACAGAGATCAGGCTATCTGAATATGTAGTAAACTTACTACAGCATTTTATCTATGTGGTATTCAACAAAATCAGGCAAATCTAGATGATACTGACTTTTTTGCAGTACATGTGTTAGAGAAATGTAGAGAGTAGGGCGGATGACAGTTACCTCCAATGCTGTCAGGAATTTCTGTGAGCAGTCTTAGTTGGACAAATTAATTTGGAAAAACGATGTCCTCATCCAATTTGCGCGATATACAGAGTCTTCAGTTATATTTGATGTTTTAAGAGTTATCGATGGCGAAAGGAGTGCGTGTGAGTTCAAAAAGTGTTGATTATCAGTTTAAT